TACGTACTTTGGTGGAGTAATAGCAAGTACGTCAAGTATTTACTCTCTCAACGCCAAGTAGTGTATGTATGCGGAAAAAAAGTAACAATGTGTTGGGAGTAGAGTACAATGCAAGGAGTACTTATTGAATGAAATGCGGCAAATACAATTGCGCTGGACTCTAGTAGGCATACAGTTGTTTATATATACATAAATGTACATATTTATATGTTTGTATGTGTTATGTACTAAGATGTGAATGCTTTTTGTTCGAAATTCTTCTGACATGACATTATTGGGAATGTCAAAGTGAAAAAAATACATGCATACATATGTATAAAAAGTATCAGAAGCCAACAGAAGCATTGGACGGCAAATAAATGGATGAAATGGCACAACCAATACAATAACAATAGCAATGTAAACAAATGGAAGTAGTTCATGAAAAGTAATCATAACTTTTGTTGGAGATTTGGTTTTCGTTTTAGGCCGACATTTTTGTTATTGTTTGCTTATCTTGTTGATTTGTACTCAATATATACATAAATACACTGCTAAAATTATGTACATGGATATATGTATGTATGCCTATAAATACTATGTATATGGGGAGTTCCATACGAAAACGGATGGGGTTCTCACTTCACACTTTCAAATTTTTGCGGTTGATGCATAAACATAAATAATAAATAAATATTAAATTTGAGTTTGATTAATAAATTTTTAGAAACCTTACAGCACAAAAACAAAGACAAATCGATTTAATTTTTCACATACAAATGTGCCATATCAAAATAAAAAGGAAAAAATCACAATGGTAGCTCTGAGTATTGCGCAAGATTAAGTATAGTATTACGGGGTGCACTCTACAATAATTTGAGCTATGAATTTTTTTATACCGACGGTGAGTAAAATGAGTACTTTGCAAATTTACAAATTTAAAAAAATTTTTTTTTTTCAAATTTTTTTGAGTATGCAATTTCGTAGCCCATTAAATTTTAGTACAATAAAGTGCAAGTTTTAAGCGATTGCAAAACTGGCTTTAATTTTTTTTTAAGTTTTCTTTGAAAACGGTTTTGCGCATTTTCTTCCATAAAAAATGCAAAAAACCGTCAGCATAAAAAAAATTAAAAATCAACGCTTGAAACTTCAGTAGCTTTAAACTTGCACTTTATTATACTATTATTTAATATTTAATATTTAATTAAAAAAAAAAGAATTCAAAAAGTTGTAAATTTGTAAAATACTCATTTTACTCAGCTTCGGTGTGAAAAAAATTCATAACTCAAATTATTGCAGAGTGCATACCGTAATAGTATGCTTAAATATTGCGCAATACTCGGAACTACCATTGTGATTTTTTCCATTTTTTTTTTGAGATGGCATATTTTCAATAATTAATATTTTTTTTTTGTCAAAAAATTTGTATGTGGTAAATTTTCCAATAAAGTAAAATTCAAAAAATATTTATATTCATAGAGAATTTTGATGAGTGTGTGTGTGATTTTTTTAAATTATGTTCTCGCCCCTTTCTTGAGATATTTAGAAAACTATTAAATCGCGTTGTTTTTCTTTTTGTGCGGTAAAGTTAAAAAAAAATTGATTAATAAAGTTCAAATTTCATATTTATTTATTATTTATGTTTATCCATCTACACTAAAAATCTGAAACGAATCAAACACATGAAGTGTGAACCCCGTCCGTTTTGGTATGGAACGCCCCATATATGTATGCACAAGTGCGGTTGAACGCATTTAAACAATTCTGGAAGACAAATCTAAAAAACCGAAAAATGAGTATACATATATATCTAATATACATATATATATTTGATTTATAAAATGACTGAATGAGTGTAAACAAAATTTATATAGTAAATATTTACATATATACTTGTTTCTTGATTGTGTCCTCTTGTGGTCGATTTTCTTTTCTAAATGCAATATTTATACATAAATATATAAAGATTTCTGCAGTGTTAACACGGATGTGTGAAATAATGCAAAATTGAATTTAAGAACGGAAATGTTCTTATTTTGTTTAAATATCTATAACACTGCATAATCATTCGGAATCGTCATGCAAAATACTTCCAAAAGCCACTTTTGTTGTTAGACATATATATTCTACGCCATACAGTCGCAAATGAAGTAAATAAAATATGAAATTAAGAGATAACAACTAAACTTTGACAAATTGGTCAGATCTGGTAACGCTATTATGAAACTTAGTCAGATTGGTTTTCCATTTCATTACTAAAAGACAAAAGCCAAAATACCGATTGGAAATTCAGGCCCTTTATGGTTTCAATTAAAATTATTATAATTATTTGATAATTTTGGACTTTTTTCAAAAACAGCAACTGTATAAATAATTTGTACAAATAAGTGGCATTTTTTCTCTTTAATATAAATATTTAAAAAAAAGTCAATAATACCAAAAATTAAAAAGTGGCCCCGTCGGTCTTCAAAAGCTAAGATTTTGCGTGCAAAAATATTTGTTTTTGCTAATCAACAAAAAATCTTTTTTTTTTTTAGTAATCTAATTGTGCGGTCATAATTAGTTTTTGTCACAAAAATGGGTAAAATTACTCATAGTGCATTGCAGGGTGATTGGATCGGTTTTTCCAAATCGGTTTCCATTGGTATTTTTGGATATCTATAGGCGCGTTTTTTGAAATCTTGATTTTTCGCATATCGATGAAACCTGATTTTTCTTTTATCTAACAAAGCGATTTTTTTTATTTTAACAAATCTTGACCTTTTAGCAAAAATTTCGAAGTTTACAAGGCTATTTCCAGTTTAAGAGAGACCCCAAAATCTAGTCGTATATAACATTTGATTCAAATAAATGAATGTTTGACGCTTAAACGTTTTCCAGCTGTTTAATTGAGCTTCTATTGCAATTCGTGCTCTGTTTCTCGATGTTGCGACACAAATGGAGAGATCTTCACTTTTACTTCACCTCCGAAGAAGCTTTTTTATTGAAGAAGTGCACTGGGTGGTTTGCCATTGTCCGCCGAGTGGCGACGGCTATTTGAAAAACCTGTTTTTTATATTTATGGGACCAGAAATTGAATCATGAGCCACCCAAGTCGCAGTAGACACATCTAAGCACTCATCCAAGGTGGTCAGAGCACTACTCAAATCCTTAA